AGCTATTTGACAAGCCCTGGCTTGTCTTATTTAAATCAATCTTCTAATTCCTATATAAATCCAACTGGGTCATGATATACTATTTTTTTTTTTTTTTTTTTTTTTTTTTTTGGTTTGGTGTTTTGTTTTGTTTTTTTTTTTTTGGCAGAACCAGGGATTGAACTCTATTGAACCATCTCCCCCGCCCTTGGGTCATGATATAGTAGCCTTTTCATATTACTCACAGATTTTGCTTCCTTACTCATGAGTGAGACTGACTTATAAATTCTTTCTTATATTATTTCATATCAGGTTGAGCTTGGTCCAAACATGAATTGGAGTATTTCTTCTTTTTCTGATCTTTCAGATTGATTAATATTAGCAACTTTTTTTTTTCCCTTGGAAAATTATGTGACTGATGAAGACACACAGGCCTAGTTTTTACTGTAGAGAAACTTATTTGTATATATTTTTAAAATGAGATATAGAACTATTTTTCTTATTTTTTCTGTACCCGTTTTTAAAATTGTATATAGCTGGGCTTTCAAAAATGTTCCCACTCCATTTGTTACACTTTCAAATTTATTCCCTAGGTACTCTTCTAAAGGGGAAAAAAAAATGTCTGTAGGACTTCAAGCACATCTCAACCCCCTAGATTTCCAACACTGGTCATTTATCAATATTTCTTCAAAAATTCATTCTTAGCCCGGGATGGTGGTACATGCCTCTGTAATCCCAGTACTTTGGAGGCTGAGGCACAAGGATCACCATGAGTTCAAGGCCAGCCTGAGCTATCTAGTGAGACCCTGTCTCAGCAACAACAACAACAACCACAACAATAACAACATAGCCCCCTACCACCAAAGATCCACTTTGGTTCTTTTAATCCTGTTTATTGTACTTTCCCTAGATCATTATTTTTTGTTTTTATTCATATTACATTTTTATTGCATTTTTTAGTTTTAATTGGCACTTCTTTCTGTTGAGAGGGTTCTTTTCTAATGTAAGAAGTGATTCCCAACCTTAGCTGCACAATGGAATTACCAGGGGAGCTCTGAAATGGCTGGATTCTCCATCTCCATCCCTGGGATGTGGGTTAAACATCAAAGTTCCCCAGATGACTCTAGATGCAGCTAAGACTAAGAGCTACAGATTTAAAGCTATACTTTATTTTTTTTTTTAAATTTTTTATTTATTTATGTGTGTGTGTGTGGCCAGCTCAGCCCACCAGGGGGCGGGCTGGCTGGCATGTGGTGCTGGGGGATTGAACCGTGGTCCCTTTGCTTTGCTAAGCTTGTTCTAAGTAGGTGCTTTAGACCACTGAGCCATCTCACCAGCCCCTAAAGCTATACTTTCTAAGTACAACTTTAACTGCATCCCACAAATGTTAAATATTTTCTTCATTATTTAGTTTTGGTCTTGCCCTTGGGGAGCAGGGAGTTAGGTGTCACAATTCGGCCACTGAGTGCATCTCATGTTGCAGTTTTCTTTCAGGATGTACAATTTCGGAGCAGTGTCCATGTCAACATGTGTCCCGGTTCGTGCTAGCAGATAAAGGCAGCAATCAGAATCACTATCTGTGCTGATGCAGACAACAGCAGGAAGTGGGAGGAGGATGAGGAGGGTACTGCTGCCACAATTTTTAAAATCCAGGCCAATTTAGGCCAGATTGCGCTTCTGTCTGAGGAGGCAGGGCCTGTTCCCTTTAGCTCAAACCCCTCAGGGCTGTCTTTCCAGCACAGCTGCTGACCTTGCAATCACTCTACTGGCTGGGAGCCCTACATGAAGCTGTGTGAGTGCTGTGAGTCCCAGATTTAAACAATTGACCCTTCCCAAGAATGGATCCCAACCATCTGCTTGTACTAGAGTCACTCATCAGCTTTACCATTATTACTATCATCCCACTCTACCATATTTATGGGATACAAGTGACATTTCAATACATGTATATAAAGTATACTGATCAGATAAGGAGAAATGTCATATCTATCATCTCAGACAATATTATTTCCTTATATTGGAAATAGTCAAAATCTTCTCTACTAGTTATCATGAAATATCCAATTACTTGTTGCCAACCTCAGTTATACTGCTGTGCTGCAGAACACTAGAAGTCATTCTTCCCATCCAACTTCTCCCCTGTATCCATGAAACATCCCCCCCCCCAGCCCTCACACCCACCACTTTCCACAAGCTCTGCTAAGCACTGTTTTCTACTTCTTGGGATCTACAACTTCAGCTTCCACATGGAAGAAAGAATATCAACTGTTTACCTTTCTGTGCCTGATTATTTTATTTAACCTCTTCCATTTCTACTTATGTTGCTGCAAAATGTAAAATTTTTTATAAGAGGGAGATCCTGTACAAGGAGTGGCACTACAGTCCTCAACATTAATGCTAGAAGTCAAAAGAAACAGCACAATGTTGTCTAAATTATAGTGGAAAATTATTTTCCACCTAAAAATTTCATATTCAAATTCTTTTTTTTTCATTTTATGGTTTTATTATATGATGTTAATATTCAGGACACTTCAGAGCACCTTATACTTCTAATCAGGTTTTTAAAAGTGTTACTTGAATATTTTTCACATACCAGCTTTCAGCCAAAAGCACTACTCAGTGACTGCTTAAGCAATGTTAATTTGATTAAATAGTTTATCCTTAATAACCTGAGACATCAATCCATGGATGGTTTCTATGGTGGTTTTACAGCTGTCTCTTGTAGCTTTGGCAAGTTTGTCTTCTGACTTTTGGTCATGTGTTTCTAAACCCAGCATGAAACTTCCTCGGCCCAGTTGGGCTTCTGACTGTTCTAACTTTTCAGACAAATCAAACACTTGACCAGTGGTATAGTCTGCATTAATAAGTAAGCTAGAGGAACTCAGCGTATTCACCCAGTATTCATTCCATAACAGCTCAAGTAATTTTCAATCCAAAGATGACTTGAAATATGAGACTTCTAAGGCATAGTATTGTTTACAATGTACACCAAAATCTTCTATTTTATTTAGTGGGATAGTTTGATATTCAGAATGTCCTTCATCAGGAGGTTTATAGACCTTTGGGTATGTCCTAAAAGCTCCAAGATTCACTTTCCTTGCAGATATTGTTCTTGTTGGATCAATCACGACTGCTACAAAAGGTTCCTCGAACTGCTGGTTTAGCATCTTTGTGCTCACATCAATCCCAGAAAGCCAACAGCCATACCCAGGGTGGCTGTGATACCAGCCAATTGCATTCTCAAGGCGGCCAACCCATTTGGCATTTTCTATGTATGTGGCCATGTACTCATATGCAGCAGCTTGAGCATTTACTCGGGTTTCAGTGCCCTCTACAGGCAGAGCAAAACTGTTCATAATGATCATGGTTTCACCATCCACCTTTCCAAGCATCAAACCCATCACTTCCAGGTTGCCTCCTGATCTGGCATGCATCGCCATTTTCAACAGAGCCAGTGCTGAGATTTTACAGTACTTAAAGTAATGGTGATCCTTAGTACAGGGCTTCGCTGCCAGGATTTCTTGCTGCTGTTTTTTGTCGTATTTGTAGATTTCATCGATACTCTGGGCTTCCTGCATGTTGTTGGCCAATTCCCAGGTTTTCTGAGCCATACCGCTCCCGGACGCCACCATTGCCGAGGAATTGGAGAAACTGTCGTCTCAACCAAACAAAACCCAACTTTACTTCGCTAGGTCTCGGGATGTGGGCCTCGGGCCTTCCTCACTACTGATGCAAACTATTCTAGATTCCGGAGGCAGCCATGACACCTCATATTCAAATTCTTAATCAGCTTATAAGCATAAAAACAAAGACATTTCAGTTGGCAAAGCGTGCAGAAAAGTTACCTCCCATGTACTTTTCCTCAGAAACCTTTGGAAGAATGTGCTTCCATGAAAGGAGGGAATATATATGAAGAATACAGCATAAACTAGGGTGGGTTCATTAAAAAAACAATTTAAAAGCAAAAAATGGATAATATTACTTTTGAGATATGAAAAGAGTGAAACTTCACCCGAGAAATGAAGTCTAAGAATAGTTCAAATCACTGTAAATAAGAATTGTATGGCCATAATAACAAGCAGAGGCCACTGATTTGGCCAAGCACTGCAATACACTTGTGTTCAGTAAGTGGAAGAAGAGGACTGTTTATTCATTGTGGTGTGGGGGGAGTTGCTGGGCAAGATAATGTAAGACAATAAATCCTCACGTTCTACAGGACATTAATAGATGAACCTGAAAGAATGAAGAACTAGTGTAAATGTGAAGAAGAAAAAAAATAGCTAAATGGTTAAATTGGGGGAAGAACCAAGAGATGAAGGGAGAAGGGAGGGAGATGAAAAAAGAACCAAGATGTGTTATGTACACGCATCAACTCCTTAAAATGAATGTCAACAGTAGGTACTGCAAACCTGTACTAACAAAATAATTTTTAAAAGTAAAATGGGAATGCTGGTATGGCTCCACTAAAAATGGATGTTAAGAAGGGATGAAGTAGTTGCTGCTACTTTCACTGTTAAGGACTGAAGAACTTGTCTTTTTTCCATTGTTTCTATGTAATATTTTCAAAAAAATTTAGAGCAAACAAAAACTGTAAAATAAAAGAGAATCCCATGGGACTAAAAAAAAATCACTTTTAAAAGTTTAAAAGTGATAATCACTGGATTATTACTTTAAAAAGTTGGATAATCACTAGAAAGGTTTCCTAGACAAGATGCGGAATACATGCAATACATCAGTAACCATTATTACTATTTTTTTAGCTCAAAAATTTTCCCATGAGAACTTAACTATAATTTAGTAAAAGGTACATGCACAGCTTCCCTCTCCACAGCCAGAATGTCCAAACTACATGTGTTCATTTCAACAGGTTAGATGGATTATACCACTCTAACTGACATGCAGCTTTTTTCAGGAACATAAATGAAGTCTGATCTGCTATGGAAGCAACAATTTTTTTTTTTTTAATCTTTTATGAGCTGGTAATCATGGAAAGCACACTTGGTTAGTGTAAGGGAAGTTACCTGAAGAAAGTCACGAAGAACTGCACCAGGTCCATAAAGTTGCTGTGCTGGGAGAAGGCGATCTGTGGCAGAAAAACAGGTGGCGGGTTACTTACTGAGGCCACAAAACGCACTGCTGACTCAACCTACTTACTTCATGAGATGAGTTAAAAGATAGGTGTTAGCCAGGGATGGCTGCACAAGGCTGTAACCTCAGCACCCAGGGAGGCTGAGGCAGGAAGATCACAAAGTTGAACCCATCCTGGGCAATTGAATGACTTAGTGACACATTTCTCCAAAAAAGACAGGCTTTACATTTTAAATATACTAATTTCACTTACAGCAAAGTGCCTTAGCTTCATTTTTTATATCACTATCAACCCCAATACATAGCAGTCTTGGTTGCTCCATCACCTCCTGCAGTCGCGCCTTCTTCAGCCCGAAAGCTCCTCCACTGATGGCTAATGTGTCAAGTCAAGTCACCGGCTGCCACCCCAGCCTCCCTCACACACAGGGCTCCCCTCATTGTTTTAAAAGCAACTCCTGGATCTACCTTAAGGCATGTAGGCTTTTACACCCTTCATTGCTTCAACATGTATGTACTCACAAAATAGTATCCTATTTTTTAAAAAAATGTTTCAAGTTTTGCCATATTGACTGTAACTGACAATATTATCAGTTCAAACTTAAATAATTTTATTATTATTTCAACACTCTTTATACCAAAAATATAAATGCTCCCAGCTGTATTTCAGCAACTCTAATAAGATACTACTGACATGCAGCTTTTATTACCAGATTGTAATAAAATCTTATCATGGTTGCATGGCCATGTGCAACCACGATAAAATACTAACAACCATGAATAAACAAGATAAGATACTAACTTATAGGGCCCTCCTGTCTCAACCTCCCAAATACTAGGATTGCAGACGTATGCTACCATGCCCAGTTCTGGAACTTGAAGCTTTTGTGTCATACCTCTAGCCATCATCTAAATCAGAAATAAAAGTAACACAGACTTCCTAGGGTAAATAAACAAAAACCCACTCTCTTTTCATTTTTATAGTAACAAGTACCAAATAACAAGGTACTTTGAGAGAAGAAAGCCTGCTGAACATGGCCATGGTCCTCACATACAAACTTTTTAATACTGAAGGACTGGACTGCCTTTTAAGTAAGGTTAATCAGTCCTGGGGCATGAAGTTTCCAAATTACAACACACAAAGAAGGAAAAGAACACAGATTCCAGCCCTTCTCAGCTCTGTTTAGATTTAACTCTCTTGACACAGTAGTGCAACCTCGGAATTTACACTTCCAGAAATTTCTGAGATGCTTTGCTCACTGCTGAATGCTGCGGGCTCCTTCTGAGACCCCGTCAGATGTCTGTGTGTGTTGCCGGGTAACACTCCTCAGGGCAGCTCCCCCAGCCTTAGGCTGACTGCGCACTGCAGCAGGACATACCAGGTCATAATAAAGAGGCTCACAGGGACTGGTTGTCAGTGTGGCTGGTACCCAAGACTCTGCAGGGGGCTCTTATCACTGATCATCTAGGTCTCTGCACTCACAAGGTTGTGAGACAAGCAAAAGCCATAGTGTAAACATGTTTATGAATGTTCACTGCTCACTTAGAAATATCTAGCCATCTTCTCTTGGAGGAACTTACTATCCAAACTACAAACTTCTGAGAGCAAAGGGGAATGTTGCAGGGCTGGGGAAATAGCTCAGTGGCATAAGTGCCTGCGTAGGAAGCACAAGGTCCCAAGTTTGATTCCCAATACTGGAAAAAAGGAAGAAAAAAAAAGGGAATGCTGTGAGAAATGATACTGATAAATTTTCCTTGTTGTATGCAGGGAATCAAATCTAGGGTCTTGTACATGGTAAGCAAATGTTCTACTACTGATCTATGCTCTTGGTTCATACTTGAGCAATGTTTAATTGTCCAGAGTAATAAGCATAAATCTGGTAATAAGCTGGGCATGGTAGCACACACCTATTGTACCAGTGCTCAGAAGGCTGTGGTAGGAGGAGTGTCATGAGTTCAAGGCTGGCCTTGGCTACATAAGTGAATCTGTAGTATGCATTACATGATGAGACCCTGTTTCAAAAAAAAAAGGAAAATATCCAGTGATAAGCATAAAGTGGACTGCTCCTACAAACACAGCATCAGACAACACAAAACCACAAACCTCATGAAAGTTAAGATTTTAGTAAAAGGGTTTGCTCACACAGAACTACTGATAAATGAAGAATAAGCAGACAATTGGTCCTGTGAGAAGCCAAAAAAGGGGTAAAGAATGCAGACAGAGTAAGTGCCTCATAACTCTGCTCAAGGCTACGTTATGAAGACTCTGGAGAAACCCAAAAGACCTTGACCATGACTTTCAGCTGCTGAGAAGTCTGGAGTGAGGGCTCCACCCTGGAGCTGTCAGCTCTCCACCCCATCTTACTCCTGAAGCCCACCTTTGACTGCTCAGTGTGCTCCTGTCCCTATCCACTTTATTTCCAAGGTGATTTATAGTCTCTTCTACTAGAGAGCAAGATCTATGAGGGCGAAGAGCAGGAACTGTATCTGTCACATTGATTACTATATCTCAGTGTTCATAACACATGCTTAATAAATGAATATTTGCTGGATAAATGAAATGGTGAAAAATGATGACTTTTTTTCCCCCCAAACTCAGCAAGACATGATTGAGTTTTCTTTCAAGAACTGGCCATGGTTGTGACTACAGTCTAAACTTTGCTAACAAAATTAAAAGTAATATTTTTCATTCTTTTCAGCTTCATTTTTCAAGGTAATAGTCTTTTTTCTTCATGATTCGGAAAGTGTTGATTTTCTGATACTAAAAGTAACGAAAGGTCTTGGGCCCTCCATATCCGACCAACCCCAGGCCCTGCGAGGGTGGGGAAGAGCTTCTGCTCCGTCCTGAGCCCACCTGCCGCTCCAAGCCCAGGCCCACTGCATAAGAGGCCTTTGCTCTTGTTATCCAGACCTCCCCTGGCTGGCCAGACCCAGCGCAGCCTGCTATCTGGGTAAGAATTTCTGCTGCACTCTTGGGAATCCTGCAGACCCATCAAAACACAACACTGGTGAGTGTGTGGGAGAGCTTCTGGGCTCTCTTGCCCCGGCTCCTCATATCCCTCCAGACCCAGCCCAGACCTAGCATACAGGCTTGAGGTAAAACCCTGCAGCTAAAGTCCCCGCAGTGAGACTAAGGTCAAAACCACATAGCTAATCCAGGAACAGATCATCTTACCAGACGTGTACAGCAGGCCCACCTCCAGGGGCAACAACAGTAAGGAGCTGGGTACAGTAGCCTAACCCAAGCCAGGCACAACTGCATGAACTAGAACTTGGTATATCAGTACCTGAATTTCATTAAGTGATAACATAATTGCACCAAAACTCTACACCAAAGGCCACAGGTCAGTGTTAAACGAAATGATAAAGACAAAGAGCAAAATGCAATCTCAGGTCTCAAGCCCACCATAACAAGTGCAGAGGACACTAGCTCAGCTGAAATAAATGAATTAATAGCATCGGAAGTAAATAAACAACAGTAGAAAGATATAGAGGAACTCAGAGCAGAATTAATTTCTGGAATTAAAAAAAATAAAACTCTGAATTTATAGCAGATTCTGAACTTAAGAATCAAATGCAGAAACATATGGAGGAAACACAATGCCCAACCAGAACAAATGTAGTGGATGCTAGCTTAGCTGAAACACATGAATTAATAGCATAGGAAGTAAATAAGCAACTACAGAAAGGTTTAAAGGAACTCAAAGTAGAATTAGTGTCTGAAATGAGAAAAGAAATCTCTAAATTCATAGCACCTGAACTAAAGAATCAAATACAGAAACATAGAGAGGAAACCCAATCTGTAAAAAACTCTGTAGTAAAAGAATTTATAACTGCTTCTAAAGAAGACAGGGGCTGGGGAGATGGCTCAGTGGAATAAATGCTTCTCTGGTGAGCACAAGGGCCTGAGTTCAATCCCCAGTTCCACCAAAAAAA